CTTTCATTTCTGGTATTAGTAATTTGCTTCTTCTCTCTTTTTTCTTGTTCAGCCTGGTTAGAATTTTATCAATTTTTATTAATCTTTTCATAAAACTAGCTTTTGGTTTTGTTAATTACCTTTTTTTCCATTGATTTCTACTTTAATTTTGATTAGTTCTTTTCCTTTTTTTTTTTTGTGGGGAAGACTGCCCTTCAGCTAACACCTGTTGCCAATCTTCCTCTTTTTGCTTGAGGAAGATCACCCCTGAGCCAACATTTGTGCCAGTCTTCCTCTATTTTGTATGTGGGATGCCACCACAGCATGTCTTGATGAGCAGTGTGTAGGTCTGCACCCAGGATCTGAACCTGTGAACCTCAGACCACTGAAGTGTAATGTGTAAACATAACCACTATGCCATCGGGCCAGCCCCTATTATTTCTTTTCTTCTTCTTGCTCTAAGTTTATATTGTTCTTTTTCTTGTTTCCTAAGGTAAACATTTAGATTATTTATTTTAGATCAATCTTCTTTTTCTAATACATGTATTCAATGCTCTACATATCCTCTAAGTCCTGCTTCTGCTGCATGACACAAATTTTGATGTTGTATTTTTGTTTTCATTTAGTCAAAACATTTTTAAAATATCTCTCATGACTCCTTTGACCCATGTGCTATTTAAATGTGTTCTTCAATCTCCAAATATTTGGGGATTTCTAGATAACTTTCTGCTATTGATTTTTAATTTAATTCCATTGTGTTCTGAGAGCAAACGTTGTATGATTTCTGTTCTTTTAAAATAGTGTTTTGTGGCCCAGAATATGGTCTATCTAGGTGAATGTCCCATGTGAGTTTGAGAAAAATGTGTTTTCTGCTGTTGTTGGATTAAGTATTCTATAAATGTCAATTGGATCCTCTTGATTGATGGTGCTATTCAGTTCAACTGTATCCTTATTGATTTTCTGCCTGCTGGATCTGTCAGTTACTGAGAAAGGGGTGTGGAAGTCTTCAATTATAATAATGGATTTCTCTATTTCTCCTTACAATTCTTGCAACTTTTGCCTCAAATATTTTGACTCTCTTTTTTAGGTGCAAATAAGTTAAGAATTGCTATAACTTCTTGGAAAATTGACTCCTTTATCATTAAGTATTGCCCCTGTTTATCTGTAATAATTTTTTTGTTCTGAAGTCTGCTGTGTCTGAAATTAATATAGCTACTCCAGCTTTCTTTTGATTTGTGTTAATATGGCATACCTTTCTCTCTTTACTTTTAATCTATCTGTGTTTTTATATTTAATATAAGTTTCTTATAGACAACATATAGTTGTTTCTTGTTTTTTATCTGCTCTGACAGTTCTGTCTTTTATTTGGTGTAGATAGACCATTTACATTTTAATGAATTATTGAGATTTTTGGCTTAATATCTGCCACATTTGTAAAGTTTTCTATTCACTGCACTTGTTTTTCTTCTCCTTTTTTAAAATCTTCCCTTCTTTTTCTGCCTTTTCTGGTTTTAACTGAGCATTTTATGGTTAAGTTTCTCTCCTCTCTTAACATATCAATTATACTTCTTTTTTTTAACTTTTTTGATCATTTATTTATTTTTTAAATTGAGGTAATATTTGATTATATCATTATATAAATTTCAGATGTATATCTATATTACACTTCTTTTTAAAATTTTTAGGTGGTTGCCCTAGAGTTTGCAATATACAACTTACAACTAATCTAAGTCTACTTTCTGACAACACTACACTCACTGTCTAATGGGTATTGCAGGTAACTTTTAACAGAGTATTCCCAATTCTTCCCTCCCATTCCTTGTAACATTGCTGCCATTCATTTCATTTATCCCTATGCTATAATCACCCAATACATTGTTGCTATTATTGCTTACAACAAACAGTTATCTATTAGATGAAGTAAGAATAGGAAAAACAAAACTTCTTATCTTCCTTCACTTATTCCTTCTCTGACATTTTTCCTTTTTTTAGGTAGATCTGAATTTCTGATCTATAGAAGTTTTCTTCTTTTAGCATAAAAGAACTTCTTTTAAAGATTTCTTGCAAGGCAGGTCTACTGGCAACAAATTCCCACGGTTTTTGTTTGTCTGAAAAAGTCTATATTTCTTCACTTTTGAACAATGATTTCACTGGACACAGATTCTAGTTTGGTGGAAGTTTTTTCTTTAGACCCTTTAAATATTTCACTCTACTCTTTTCTTGCTTACATGGTTTCTGACAAGAAATCCAATGTAGTTCTTATCTTTTTCCTCCATAGGTACGTATTTCTCCCTCTTCCCCTGGCTTCCTTCTAGATTTTCCTTTTGTCTTTAGTTTTCTGCGGTTTGAATGTAATATGCCTTTGTTTTGTTTTGTTTTGTTTTGTTTTTATCCTGGTAGGTGTTCCCTGAACTTCCTGGATCTGTGGTTTGGTCTGTCATCAATTTTGGAAAATTCTCAGCCATTATTCCTTCGACTATCTCTTCTGCTCTCTTCACTCTTTCACCTCCTCTCATATTTCCATTAGACATGTTATACCTTTTGGAATTTTCCCATAGGTCTTGGGTATTCTGTTTTTATTTGTTTTATTCTTTTTTTTTTTTTTGGCATTTCAGTTTGAGAATTTTCAATTGGCCTGTCTTCAAGTTCTCAGATTCTTTCCTCAGTCATGTCCAGGACTGATAAGACTATCAAAGGCATTTTTCATTTCTAGTACAATTTTTTTTATTTTTAGCATTTCCTTTTGGTTTTTCGCTAGAGTTTCCATCTTTCTGCTCACATTACTCATCTGTTCTTGCATATTGTCTACTAGTTCCATTAAGGCTCTTAAAATATCAATCACAGTTACTTTCAATTCCCTGTCTGATAATTCCAATATCTGTGTCATATCTGAGTATGGTTCTGATGTTTACTTTTTCTCTTCATGCTATTTTTTTTTAGTCTTTAAGCATAATTTGTAATTTTTTGTTGAAAGCTGGACATGATGTATTGGGTAATAGCAACTGAGGTAGTTGTTGCTTTGGGTGTCAGAGGCTTAAGTTTCCTCTAGTTCCCCTCTCTTTTTTTTTTTTCTCCTTTGTTGTATTTGGGCTTCCCTACAAACTCCTTCTTAAATAAAATCTGCATCTCACAGCTCTCTCAGTTGTAATCCATTGTTATTATATCAGAGCCTTGTTGATGAGGTGGTAAGGTATTGGGGAAAAGAACGATTCTATAATCCTATGATTAAATCTCAGTTTTTTAGTGTGCCTGAATCCCTGGACTGTAGCTTTCAGAAGTGTTTCTTAGCCTTTGCCTCCCCTTACATGAGACAGAAAGGCTGCAGGGGGCTACAGTTGTCTAATTTGCTCTTCCCCCAGGTCACACAGGCTCTATTAATCTAGTTTCCCTTAAAGGGCAGAACTTTGTTAGGTAGAATGCTCTGGGAGCATTTAAAAATGGTTACTTTCTCCCTCCTTCTGAAGGAAACTTGAGCAAATTTTTCTCTGATCCTCACAAGAACCTGGTGGGGCTTCTGGAGGTAAAACCCATGACACTGTAGAGGGTCCCCTAAGACTGAGCTCTCAGGAGTTTTTAACTCTCAAGCCAGTCCTCACTCAACCTCTAGCAATTTGTCAAAATTAGCATTTAAGTATTCCTACCAATTATTGGCTAAAGCATCTTAAGATCCCAGTAAACTGACCTCAGCTGTGATTCTCTATGTTTGTTAGTCTCTCCAGATTTCAGGATGGTGGTTTGCTCAGTGATCAGAATTCTCTGATGGATCTAAGAAAAGTCATTACCAGTTTGTTCACTTCTTTCTTGTTATGAGGATGGGCGTAATGACTTCTAATCTCTAACAAACTGAAACTGAAAATATCCCTACGTTCATTTTTCAAACCAGTATGATCTGCAATTTACCACCTCTGCTATCAAAACTGTTCTCACAAAGTTATTATTGATATCTTGCTGTTAAACTCAATGGATAGACATCGTTACATATCTTTATTTGACCTCTTTTTAGCGTTTAACATTTTAATCTCTTCTCCATGAAGTTCACTCTCCCCTTGGCTCCCATGATAACAGTCTATTATTTCTCTATTCCTATCACTATGGTAATTTATCTTTCCTTTCTAAGCAAATCTTTTTCTTTCTCAGTTTACCATGTAGTGTTCTTAAGGGTTCTATCATCACCCCTCTTCTCACTCTAACTCATTTTCCGTATACAAGAACATTCTAAAATCTGGATCTGGAAGACCTAAGCACCTCAAACATATGATGTCCCAACCAACCTCATCAGTAAGTTCTGTTTTCCTTTATCTCCAGAGGGACATCTGCTATCTATAACACCCACCCACACACACACACAAACTGGAATCCTTCACTCCTCTTATGTTAGTTTCCTCTGGCTGCTGTAACAAATTACCACAAGCTTGGTGGTTTAAAACAACAGAAACTTATTCTCTTACACTTCTGGAGGCCAGAAGCCCAAGATTTCTATCCCTGAGCTGAAATCAAGGTGTGAGCAAAGCCATGCTCTCTCTAGAGTCTCTCATGGAGTGCATATACCCTGCCTCTTTCAGCTTCTGCTGGCTGCCAGCACTCCATAGCTTGTGGCCACATTACCCCAATCTTCAAAGCCAGCATCTTCAAATCTCTTTGCTCCATCTTCATATCACCTTCTCCTATGTGCATGTGTAATCTCCCTCTGTTTCTCTCTTAAAAGGATACATGTGATTGCATTTAGGGCCCACCTAGATAATTCAAAATAATCTTTCCATCTCAAGATCCTTAGCTTGATCATATCTTCAATCCCATATACATATATATATATATTTTTTTATATAAGATAACATTCACAGGTTCCAGGTTGGGGGGGGGGCGTCTACCACACCTCCCATTCTTCATTCTTCACATTTAACACATCCAATCAATCACCTCCAGGCTTTATTCAAATTACATATGGCAACTCTAAAGCTTCTAATTCCCCACCTCTTCCCATTCCACCCTGCCCCCCACCTTAAGAGGGCATGCTCACTTTCCTTTTCCACCGTGAGAGTCACTGGAGAAGTGAGCTATTGCTCTGATGGATTGAAGTCCCAACCTGTTGGCTTAGAGTGGAGAAAAGGATTGAAAATCAGTAATCTAATTAAGTTCTGCTATTTCAGAATAGAAAGATAAGACCCTTTGACTAAATGACTTGCTATATCACATCAGTATTGGAGCTAAGACCAAAATTCAAACCCCTGGACTCCCATTCTAGGACGTTTTGCATTGTTCCAGGTTGCTGCAAGTCAGTAAATAATACCGAGCCAAGTGAGAAGTATTATAACAGCTTACAACTATACAGTGGTTTTATAGTTTACAAAGTGCTTTCACACAGGCCTTTTTCTCTCACAGTTATGTAGTCAAAAAAATCCCAGATCTTCCTTTCTGATTTTCACTGCTGTCTTCCTAGTCTACATTAACTTAACTTTCCCCTTGATTTTCTGACATAGTCTTACAGTGTTTTCATCGAAGTATCTGAATCTTATCAGACATAATTCTGATTTCTTAGTTTGGTATATAGAAATCTATGTGAACTGGACCCACTTCATCTAACCTTGCTGTGTGATGACTCGTCACTTTCCCATGAGAACCCTTAGGTATTCTAAATATTACTGACAATCACAAAGACCATACTGCTCATTTATAACTTCACTTCTTATGTTGATCACACTGTGGAATACCTTCTCTTACTAACAAATTTAAATCATTTTCTTCTTTTGAAGTCTACCCTAAATCTTATGCAATCCACCTTTCTTGATTAATACAACCCACACATTGTTCTCATTAATTAATCCAATATTTAACACCTACCTAATGTGCCAACATAATGCTGAGGATACAATTGCACCACACAAACCTTACTACCATCAAAGATCTCACAATTTATCTGGGCAAACAGTTATCCTAGAGAAGGGGAAGTGTTGCGTAGGTGTAAGTACGGGATACCGTGGGAGCATAGAGGAAGGCACTCTGACTGGGAGCAGAGGGAAAAGGGGCTTAGGGAAATCTTCCCAATGAAGATACCTGTCTTCTCAATTCCACCCTTCCCTATTTTTTGACTCATTTCCCATGATTTCTTTTTCTTTTTCCTATTATATTAAGTTACTACTTTTCCAATAGACTCTCCTCTGCCTTCAAAAACTACACAGGTCTCCTCCATAATTAAATATGTTTCAAGCCCCATTCTTGCCCCAGTGCTTCCTCCCATCTAGAACTACTGTAGTAAAATCACCAATAAAAAACATGAAAATTTGAAAAACATGGCATTAAATAGATCGGGAAAAGGACAGTTGTTTACAGTATGAGAGCTGAAACAAGAAGGCAGAGAGTTCAACTTCAACTGGGAACATGTGTGTTTTCACTGCCCTGAGCATGTCCATGAATGACAGAGATTACCATGTACACCCCTCTCCTGCTCATCCATCCAGCATGAAAGGAGTGAGACAGAGCTCTATATACTGCTCTGAAAAGTTCTTCATGAGATATTGTGGCGTTAAAAAGACAAAGCACACTGGGGGCTGGCCCAGTGGCCGAGTGGTTGCGTTCGGGCGCTCCGCTGCAGGCGGCCCAGTGTTTCGTTGGTTCGGGTCCTGGGCGCAGACATGGCACTGCTCATCGGGCCGCGCTGGGGCAGCGTCCCACATGCCACGACTGGGGGGACCCACAACAAAGAATATACAGCTGTGTACCGGGGGGCTTTGGGGAGAAAAAGGAAAAAAAAATAAAATCTTTAAAAAAAAAAAAAAGACAAAGCACAGCACAATGTAATAATTGGGGAGTTACAAATAAATTTTAGCAGTTAGGTAAATTCAAACCTATGGAATCCACAGATAATAAGAATCGATTGTACTTGCAGCATTGAATTGGATGTTATTATCTTACAACAAACATTTGTAAATTACTACTAGTGAGTGTCTTTAACTATTGTGATTCTGAGCTACGCAGGCTGAGAAATTTCTGTGAAAAATAAAGTTCATAACGTATCTGATTAACACACATACCTGCACGGACTTTCTTCTTACATAAAGACAGCCTAGGGAGTGCTGGAGGTAAAGGTCTTCGAAGAAGTTGTGGGTGTTTTTGCATTTCAACTAATAATAAGCACTGTTTTTCACAGCTATTGGTTAAGTGAGAATTGAAAAGTTTTTGAATATGTTTTGAATTGTTGCTGAAAAATCATTAGAATCTAGATTACATCTTAATGAAAATCATCCTGTGCCAATACTATACTGAGTCCAAGTTGAATTCCTATAAAAGAACAAGAGGGTAAGAAAATAATTCCTTAAAACTTCTAGAAAGAATCTAGATAAAATTTAGGTTTATAATTAACAAGGAATTTTAAAATACGTATCCTATTACCAATCAGGATCGTTGTAACATTTCCCATGTTAGCAAAAACTTCAATCTGCCGGTGCTATTTTAATTAGTAAATACTTATATTCCGGAACAGTAGAAACGGCATTCATTTTTCTATCTCCAAAATGTTATCACTTTATAAATTTGGAAGGAATTTTTGATCAAAAAGATACGGAAGTCCCTCCGTGATAGCCTCTGAAGACTCACAATAGATAACTATTGACAAATAAGTTGTATTCTTTCTGTAATAATGACTTATTTTAATTTTCAACCACTATAATCGAGCCATAACCATTTAATCCAAAAATAAGATGGTCTTCAATACAATGAGATTTTCCAGGATCGCTGTCTCAATTAGTACTGTTTAGAAATGATGCGAGAAGATAGACCCAAAATACGTGCGCTTACTTCTCAGGGCAACGTCAGTGCTCGGCACATCACTATTCTGTTGGCATTCTAGAAGAGAACGCTTTGGAGCTGCACGAATGGATCGTTTTATCCTCAAAAGATAACTGCACACAAGCGCTCAAGGTGTGCTCCCTGGTAGTACTTGATGTAGTTTTCCCTCCGTATTATCGGAAGAGATGCTTGGGAACGTTGGACTCCTAAGCTAGCCTTTAGGGCAATCAGCTGCTTTTCAAAACAACTAGTTTTCCTCTTTTATCTCCTTTTCCTCGCAATTTAAGCAGCAAGGTAGAGGTCAAGAGATGTCGCGGGTCTTCCTGATAGATGTGTTTCGAAAAAAGGAAAACACCCAGGCCACTCCCCCCCTCACCCCATCCCCACCCCGACCCCGATCCCCAACCTCCCGGCAAGTTGCAGCCAGAGGCCAAGGAGATGGGCCCTAGCAACCAGAAGCCAACAAACCCGCCCCGCCCGCGGGACGCGCAGGCGCCGAATTGGGGGGCGGGGCCGGTCGGTGCGCGCATGGGCGGAGCCCCGCGGAGCCAGCCCCGCCCCACGGCGCGGCGTGCTCAGTAGCCGCTCACCTTTCCCAGGCTCCGTGCGGGTCTGGCCGGGAGGCTGCGGGCGGTGGGGACTGGTGGAGAAGTCCGGTCTTGTGCAGCTGCTGTACGGAACCCCGTGGTGACAATCGTTATTACTGTTTTTATTCTTAATGACCACTATTATTTATTTACTTTTCCCGATTACACCAGGCTTAACTCAAGTATCTGGGATCTGGGCTGGCGTTCTTTAAAGCTGCACTTGGGCGCAGCCGGGTCCCGTTTCTAATTTGGCGGTGCCCCCGAAAAGCGAGCGTTCTGATTTCTTTCTCTTCCTTTAATGCAACCTGTTTTGTCCTTCTGATCCTTTAAAGTTCCTAGATGAGGAGGAATTGTGCGGAATAGGGGCATTAGGGGTCCAAGCAGGCTTTAAAAGAAACCCATTTCTTACTGTCATAGTCATTTGTTCTGGTTGTCGTATTGTGACTTGTCTCCTCTGTCATGGTGTTGATGAATCTGTACATACAGTGATCAATATCGTGTGTGTTTGCATGTATGTGCATGTTTCTTTGGAGATTTGAGAGCGCGCTCGAGAACTCATTAGGTAGATGTGTAAATCTCAACTCAGAAAGTAAAATAGATGGAGCTTCCTTCCAGTATTTCCCTTTTTTGTTTTTTTTAATTGCAAATGTGGGAATGTTAGTGTTGGAAGATGAGAGACTTTTGTATAAATCTTTCTAGTTTTGGGGATCTTTCAAAATTTACTACCTGTCTTCCTTTTTCTCCTTAGGAGCAAGCATATATTTTAAACCGGTCAATGAAAAAAATGGAAAAGTAAAAAAGTATTCCATCAGACTGTGGGAAATATTATGCACTTCGTTTTCCTTTAGAGTATTAGCATATGGTTTCTTTTCCTTGTGAGATTACTGTGTCCCAATTAAACTGTCGTCCCAGACCATGAATTTATTCCACTTTTGCCTGTGTCTAATTCACAGATTGATTAGTTTCTCAGAAAGACAAAGTTGCTAACAACAGGCAGATCTGATTGCTAGGTTTTGTCTCAAGTAATATTTGTTGTGCATATTTTCTAAGTGTGAAAAATGTTTTTAGTTTTAAGCATTAAAAAAAGGTGTCTGTTCCGATATATAAATTGCCAGGTTCCTATGCTCTTAAAAGTTGTTTGAACCATGAGTACTGGGATTCAGTTTTACTGACCAATGCATGGCCTTTAAAATTTATGCTTAGTATTGCATAGCCAAAACAAGGCAGTGCACTTATCAGTAGTTTTTTAAAAAATGCTTTGTCACACATGGAATTAGGCATCAGGCTTCATTGCCTGTAGATTTCTTCTAGCAAGTACCAAGCAGAACCTAGGGCAGTTTACTAGGTCACCTCCTTAGGTGTGAATATCTTGTCTTCTACTACTTACTACTTACATTACTTAGCACCAAACATTTAGGCAGATGAGACAGTTATTATGAAAATTAAATCCATGGCTTGGTGTGTTTTATATGTATATATCAGTTTATTCTAACATCTTACATGCTTCATCTATGGTAATGATGTACAAATGCAGGCTAGATTTAGAAAGCACAAATCTCGTGCAATTTGGATTCTTTTGTTATTCTTATTTATTTTATTAATTTTTTATTATTTTTGAAAATATTACTACCTCAATTTCCTTTTGTAAAAATAATCAAGTCTCTTTAAGTAATAGAGTTCTCTCTTTGATTTTTAAGGGTCCACTTTACCTGAAGTACGGGACAGTCGGCCTATCTGTCTGTCCCCTTAGCTTTGCAGTTTGGCAGAACCATGTGATAAAGCTTGTCAAACTGAACCACACCACTTTGGCTCTGTTAGCAGACTGTGTTAAGGAGGCCAGGGTAATGGCGAGCGCCAAGGCTAAATACATCCTGTGTTTTTGTTTTTATTTTTGTGTTGCTAAAATGAGATAAAAGCCTTATGCTCCACAGGTAATGCTATTGATTTTCCTAATGAGTGGGGAATTTTGGGGGAATCTCAGATTTACTGTTGGTGAAAGGACACAGCTCTGCTGGAAAGGGGTCAGAATTATTGCTTGAAATCTTCACTATTTTCCATTTACCTCCCTCCTCTTGTTTGTTTGTTTTCCTTTTAAATAGGACAGTGGTTTACTAAACAGTTTGGTCAATGTAGATTTCATCTAACATTTTACCTTATGGAAATAACTGGAGTAATTTGTATTTTTATGCTCATATTAGTTTTTAGAAGTTCTTTTGAAAAAACGAATAGTTGTTTTTGCGTGCATGTTGGGTAAACCGTTGGGTCCCCTGGGTAACCCTGCGCACTAAAATGCTTTTGAAAAGAGCTATTTTCCTGGTTGGAATTTACCTGACTGTTGAATTATATATCCTGGGAAATGTCTTTACTCCTCAGCAGTCACAGTGGCTTAAATGTACACATTTATTTCCTGTGCTTTCATGCTGCTGCATAGGTCTCTGTTCTTAAATGTTAATAAAGATATTTTGAAGAAGCTGCTTTTCTTTTTACCTTTCCTATCTCACTACAAAGACAAAAACTTCATTTCTGTTCTTAATTATTTGGGGCCAGTTATTTAGTTATTTTTGTCTTTCAGAGTGATACTTATTTCCTTTCCTTTGTTTGAACTAGAGATTGGTCCTGGGATTCTTTTCAAAAAGATCGTTGCTAATAAGGAAATGTCATACAACCTGCATCATAAAATTAAAAGAAAATTCCCAAACATATTGAAAGGACAATGCCTATCTGTTTTTAAAAGAGTACTCATGAATTCAGTCATTCATTCCAGAATTATTTATTGGAAACCTACCAGACATAAGGTACTTTGCTAGGTGCTAAACTTTAAACCTTATTAAAACAAGTTATAATGATTTGTTTGAGGCTTTGTAATCTTAGAGATTGAAATTAAATTTTAAATCATTTTCGAAGGCCTTACTTAGCTATAATTGTAGCTACTTGAAGTTTTAAAAATTTTAACATTGTTTTATTACATTGCTTGGGTAGTATAGTATTATTTATTTGCACAGCCCCAAATAATCAGAAACAATTTTGCATTTCCTTAGCTTCAGTGATGGTTTTGGACTGTTTGTCTGCACCCAGGTGATATTAGATATCTGTATATATTGTGTGATTGTGTCCTCACCAAAAAAAAGTAAATAATAGTTGTTTCCTTTATGTTAGGTTGACTAAACAATATTGCCATTCGTGCTGTGAGTGATGAAATGTCAACGTTGGTTGCTTACCAGATGCAAGACAATATTCCAAGTGTTGGCTTTATGTTTTGTGCTACTCCACAATTATCACGTTAATTGAAAATTCTAATATCTGCGTCAGATTGCAAAGGCAGCATAGCATAGCTCTGCTTGGCTGTGTTCAGATCCCTGGCTGCCACTTGTTAGCTCTGTGCCCTTTGACCTCTCTAAGCCCCTGTGGTTTTCCCACCTGTAAAACTGGGGTAAAATGGTACGTAACTCAGGTTGTTGTGGGGATTTAAAGAGAGAATCTGTGTCAAGGACTTAGTTTTGTGCCTGGTACAGATGAGTCCTCATTAGGTGCTAGTTGTTAGAAAACAAACTTCCTATCTGCTTTGTCCTTGTTTTATGTGATGATAGCTGATGTTGACCAAAGTATTTGGAGGGCTGGAGGGTGCATTTGGGGCATTTATCCATAAACTATCACACTTAGTTTGCTAACGTCTCCAGTGTGTTGGAGAACCTAGTCTGCAGCTCTCAGATTGTGAAGCAAATGCTGAGTTCTGGGCAGGTCCCTACATTCTGTCAGTGGTCCTTATAGCCCTCTGGACTGCAGAGGAACTGTGGGACAGCTCGTGCCCGGAAGAGTCCAAGTATAGGGATGTAAGTAAGGAGGCCTTGACTTGTCCCTCACATGAGTTGAGTCTGCGAGCTGCTGTCAGCATTGGTTGAGCTGGAGAATCCCTGATGGAATTTTAACCAATGACCCAAGGATGAAAGCTGCCTTGTTCTCAGCATCCTCCAGGCCACCTGGTGAGCCTAACAAAGGTGGAAAAGGCAAAAGGGCTGCCATGTGACTCTGCTTTGAATGGCTAGAGGGAAAGGTGCTCCAAAAGCACATCATCTTTCTTAATTCTTTTCTAAATGAGTACACTAGACTTTGGGAGATTAACCCGCGGAGCCCTTGGGGCCAGCTGTAAGTTTAGGAACATTTGCCATGCCCAGAAGGTGTATGAGCTGCATGCCCTCTGTTCAGTCCTCAAAAGAGACCTGTAGCCTTCAGAACCGTAGGTGAGCAGGAATGCTCCGTAATGATTTACTCTTCATTCTAAGGCAAATAGCAATATATGACCTTAAATAGTAAATACAATGGATCTGCTCTTAAAACCTATCATTCTCTTTTATGCTGACAGTCCTGATTGCTATATGTTTTATTCTCCAGTGTAGTGAGGCTAAAACTGTGAGTGGG